CACCCACCCACCCACACACACACACAGATGCAGAAATATATTTGTGCATGTATATATTTCTTTACCTCCTTTTTCAAACAATTTGAAATACATAAATACATAAATTCACAAAAGGATAAACTAAGAATTCTCATATCTAAGAACATGTGCTTAGATGCTCAGTCATGTCTGATCCTTTGTGACCCTATGGACTGTAACCAGCCAGATTCCTCTGTCCATGGATTCTCCAGGCAAGAATACTGGAGTGGGTTTCCTCCTCCAGGGAATCTTCCTGAACCAGGGATTGAAACCTGGGCTCCTGCATCTCCTGCATTGGGAGGCAAATTCTTTACCACTATCGCCACCTGGGAAGCCCATCTAGGAACATATGTAAGGCAAATATCAAACAAAACAATGTGTGACTCAGTTGCTGGACATGGAGGGGTGAATTTCATTGCAAGTGTCATAAATGGCTGAGGGCAAGAAAGAAAAGCTATCCTAAGATTCACAGGATCTAAAAGTTAGGACAAGCTGGATGCTATGGGGAAGCACAGCTTTTCTGGATATTGAACTCTGAGAGAAATCTCTTCCCTGGTTCCTCATAAAAATGACATTGTGATGTATATTAGATGATAGGAAAACGTCTTACAAGTTTCACATGATATTTTTCCATGACATGCCTTAATGTAGGCTGATGGCTTGATACTAAAAGATAATTCAGTTAGTCTAAGGGGAGGAGGGACCCCAAATTATTACTTTAGCCAGCCTCCTTTATCAAGATGGGGATTTCTTAACTCCATTCTGACCTGCTTAGGGCTTCCACCGAGGGTAGCAATGTTAAAGCACAGACAGCAGGTGGCCATGCACTGTGGCAGAGATTGGAATAATGTGGGCTCAAACAGAGGAAGCTGAGAAATGGCTGCAGCCACTGGAAGCTAGAAGAGGCGAGAAGGCTCTCCCCTAGAACCTTCAGAGGGGGCCCGGCCCTACTGATGACACCCTGAGCTTAGACTTCTGGCCTTCAGAACAGTGACAGAATACAAACCATCCAGTTAGTAGGAATTTGTCAAGGCAGCCCGAGGAAAGTGCTAAGTCTCTTTAGTCACTTCCGACTTTGCAACCCTATGACCTGTAGCCCACCAGGGTCCTCTGTCCATGGGATTCTTCAAGAAGAGTACTGGAGTGGGTTGCCATGCCCTCCTCCAGGGGATCTTCCCAGCTCAGGGACTGAACCCTCGTCTCTTGTGTCTCCTGCCTTGGCCAGGTGGGTTCTTTACCACTAGCTGTACCTGGGAAGCCTAAGGAAACGAATGCACGTGCAATATTTCAGGTGACTTGATGCCAGCATTTCCTTTGGATCCATGCTTTATCCTGATCCAGTGATTCTCACCTTGGACTGCCCATTAGAATGGCTTAGAGAGCTTAGAAAAGAGGCTGAAATCTGGGTCACACCCATAGAGATTCTACTTCAGTAGGTGTAGGCTGGCAATGGTGTATAGTCAGAGTTAAGTGCTGCCATTTAATTAGTCACAGCAATTTAATGTCATGAGGATGACACAGAAGTACATGGGGCTGGAACAGCTGTATAAAGTAATTTTTAACTTAGGAGTCTGCTTTGGAGCATAACATTCTATATCTTTATGCTGAAATAGAAAGTATTCTTAGACACTGCCCGAAGCAGTTTTGCCTCAGCTATCTGCACTGACCTTATGACACTAAGAGAATCCTGTTTCCACCATGAGAGAATATGGATGCTCTGACAAGTGAAACACTGTTGCCCATTTGGATGCTCCCCAGAAGAACTGGGGAGGCGTTGCCCTCTATATTGAAGTTGGACAATGCTTAACTTTAACATAAATCAAAAGATGTCACGTGCGGGCCCTCACTCCAAATTGTCCACTGTCTCTTGATAATTACATATTAGATAATTACAACTTTGTCTTCTTTTTTTTGACTTTGAAAATTCTTTTTTTTTAATATTACGTATCTTTTTTTATTTATTTATATTAGTTGGAGTATAATTACTTTACAATATTGTAGTGGTTTTTACCGTACATTGATATGAATCAGCCATGGATTTACATGTGTTCCCCATCCTGAACCCCCCTCCCACCTTCCACCCCATCCCATCTGTCTGGGTCATCCTAGTGCACCAGCCCTGAGCACTTGTCTCATGCATCAAACCTGGAATGGTGATCTGCCTCACAATTGATAATATACATGTTTCAATGCCACTCTCCTAGGTCATCCCACCCTCGCCTTCTCCTACAGAGTCCAAAAGTCTGTTCTATACATCTGTGTCTCTTTTTCTGTCTTGCATATAGGGTTACATAATTACAACTTTGAATTCCTTGTGGCATGGTTTGTTCTTGTTGTTCAGTCCCTAAGTCGTGTCCAACTCTTTGTGACCTCGTGAACTATAGCACGCCAGGCTCCTCTGTCCTCCACTGTCTCCTGGAGTTTGCTCAAATTCACGTCCATTGAGTTGGTGATGCTCTCTAGCCATCTCATCCTCTACTGCCCCCTTCTCCTTTTGCCTTCAGTCTTTCCCAACATCAGGGTCTTTTCCAATGTGTTGGCTCTTCACATCAGGTGGCTGAAGTATTTATTAGAGCTTCAGCTTTAGTATCAGGCCTTCCAGTGAATTGGGAAAGGAATACATCAAAGTTCCAAATTGGGAAAGGAGTACGTCAAGGCTGTATCTTGTCACCCTGCTTATTTAACTTATATGCAGAGTACATCATGAGAAATGCTGGACTGAATGAAGCAGAAGCTGGAATCAAGAATGCTTGGAGAAATATCAATAACTTCAGATATGCAGATGACACCACCCTTATGGCAGAAAGTGAAGAAGAACTGAAGAGCCTCTTGATGAAAGTGAAAGAGGAGAGTTAAAATGTTGGCTTAAAGTTCAATATTCAGAAAACCAAGATCATGGCATCTGGTCCCATCACTTCATGGCAAATAGAAGGGGAAACAGTGAAAACAGTGACAGACTTAATTTTCTTGGGCTCCAAAATCACTGCAGATGGTGACTGCAGCCATGAAATTAAAAGACGCTTGCTCCTTGGAAGAAAAGCTATGACAAATCTAGACAGTGTATTAAAAACCAGAGACATTACTTTGCTGACAAAGGTCCATATAGTCAAAGCTATGGCTTTTCCAGTAGTCATATATGGCTATGAGAGTTGGACCATAAAGAAAGTTGAGCACTGAAGAATGGATGCTTTTGAACTGTGGTGTTGGAAAAGATTATTGAGAGTCCCTTGGACTGCAAGGAAATCAAACCAGTCAATCCTAAAGAAAATCAATCCTGAATATTCATTGGAAGGACTGATGCTGAAGCTCCAATAATTTGGCCACTTAGAACTGACTGATATGAAGAACTAACTCATGGGAAAAGACCCTGATGCTGGGAAAGATTGAAGGCAGGAGGAGTATGGGATGACAGAGGATGAGATGGCTGGATGGCATCACTGACTTAATGGACATGAGTTTGAGCAGGCTGTGGGAGTTGGTGATGGACAGGGAAGCTAGACATGCTGTAGTCCATGGGGTCGCAAAGAGTCAGACATGACTGAGAGACTGAACTGAACTTCCACTGAATTTTTAGGATTGATTTACTTTAGGATTGACTGGTTTAATATCTATTTTCAGCCCAAGGGACTCAGAAGTCTCCTCCAGCATCTCAATTGGAAAGCATCAATTCTTTGACATTCAGCCTTCCTTATAGTGTAACTCTCACATCCTCTGAACACTACTGCTTGAAAAACCATAGCTTTGGACTACATGAACCTGTGTTGGCAAAGTAATGTCTCTGCTTTTAATACTTTGTCTAGGTTTGTCATAGCTTTTCTTCCAAGAAACATGCATGACACAGTACTTTATGTATTTAAAAAGAAAACCTGCTGCAGAGATGCGCTGAACAGAATGGGTGCTAAGTGACTTCAGTCGTGTCCAACCCTTTGTGACCCCAAGGACTGTAGCCTACCAGACTCTTCTCTCCACGGGGTTCTCTAGGCAAGAATACTGAGGTGGGTTGCTATTTCTTCCTCCAGGGGATCTTCCCAACCCAGGGGTCGAACCCACTTCTCTTAAGTCTCCTGCATTGCCAGGCGGTTCTTTACCACTAATACAACCTGGGAAACCCTGAATAGAATAGAACGTTATTGTTTGGAGGGAAGAGGATCCTCACTGTGAGTTGTGGAACAAAGCAATTCCTTGTACGTCAGCCCTCAATAAGTGTTTCTTTATTTGTGAAGTTGTGTGACAGCCTGTAGTGGTCTTTGGAAGCACATCAGGGAGCAGTCAGGAGTGAACGGCTGTTAGCAGTGGGGTTGATCTCTGAAGGGCTTTTGACGACAAGCTCACTGCATCTATTGACTCCCTGGGAAGTCTGAGGTCACAGGCTTGGCCAGAGCACATGAGCCCAGATAATGAAGATGGTTTTGCCCTCTTGAAACAAAGCCAGACATTTTATCTACTTCATTGTGCACTCTGGGTCATGTGCTAACGATGGGGATTTGTCTAATACTAATCCCGCTAATGACGGCTTCTCCCAGCCCTTACACAAACCCCACCAGGCCCCGTGATTTGGCAAGCCAGACAGAATAAAGGCAACACGGCATTTGGCTTTTGAACTGAGTTCAAGGCAATTAAAGTCATGGGCTAAGGAGGGAAGGAGGGGGTTCAGAAATACCAGTATAATAAGTAGCATGACTGGAGCGCTCCGTCAATTAACTCAATTAGACAAAGCCTGTTTCAACCAGGGAAGGCGGTGAGAAGCGCTCCCCTCATTAAATCTGGCTGTTAGAGGCGCTTCTGATGGAATGAAATTTGTTTTAGCGGTTTGCATCACATAAAGTCGTCTGTGTGTGTGCATGTACACAAAAGCACACATGTGGGTTCTGTAATTTTTGTGGGTCTTTTTTTCAAGAGGAGAGGAATAGAAGGCAGATCCAAGATATACTCCCTAAAACGTAAATTTCCCCCAAGTCAAAAAGCGGGTGAATGCTCAAGAGTCCAAGAGGGGAAGACCAGGAGAAAGCTGGAGAGAAGCAAGGAGTGGAGACGAGAGAGAGAGTTCTTCCGGTCCTAAAGCCATGAGCCTCCTTGGGTGGGGGCTTCTGCTCGGCTGCCTGGGCTGTGCGCTCCCGCCGGGGGCCCGGGCGCAGTTCCCCCGAGTCTGCATGACGGTCGGCAGCCTGCGGGCCAAGGAGTGCTGCCCACCGCTGGGCGCCGACCCCGCCAACGTCTGCGGCTCCCGGGAGGGCCGGGGCCAGTGTGCGGAGGTGCAGACCGACACCAGGCCCTGGAGCGGTCCTTACGTCCTGCGCAACCTGGACGACCGAGAGCGATGGCCCCGGAAGTTCTTCGACCGGATCTGCAGGTGCACAGGTGAGGGCGGCAGGCGGATGTGCGCATGCGCCCAGCTGGGTGGGGCTGGCCCGCTAATGGAGGAACCCCTTCCAAGGCAGAGATGCTCCGTCTAGGCTTTGAAAGGCAAACCAAGTTGGTCCATTGGCATTGAGGAAGGCTGATGTCTGGGTATATTCTGCACACCCGTTAGTAGATCTAGTTATGAGAACTAAAGAAATATTCCATGGGCCATGCTTGGTTCTATGAACGCGTGCCAGCACACCATGGGCTTGTCTGTTGGCGAGGGAAGCTAAAGAGTCCCAGAGTCAGCTTTGAAACCCAGAGCAAGTCCTTTCAAGATGGATTCAGTGCCCTCTCCTTCTGGGATGGGTTCGCACTTGTTGAAGAGGGAGGGTGGGTGATTCTTGGCATCGGTTAGACAGACGTCGGGGGGTAGGTGTTCTGTAGTTCGAGTCTCAGCATTACTAACCATCTGAACAGGTCTCAGGCAGGATATATCTTGCTCGTGAAGGTTATGACTGGCTTGTAACTTTGCCATCCTTGGGGAGATGTAAGGACAGAGCTGAAGAAGGGAGGGTAGTTTTTAGATAACAATGGCTTTTTTCACTCCTGTCTGGGTGTGATGTGAGCATTTCAGAATTTATACAGTATCCCTCTTTCAGACCTTGGCCTCTCTTATTACCTGTTTTTTTTGAAATCTCTGTGCACTTCTTACTTCTTTCGCTCTTCTGAGCCTTCTCAAATCCTCTTTAGTGGGGCTCCTCTCCAGTGTTCAGCAAACATGCACAGCAGTGATAAACACTCAAAGGCTGGCAGGGCATGTGAAGCACACACACAAAAACATAAGCAGCAACTTTAGCAAAGCCCTTGGAAACTGTTTTACAGTGTCCAGCTGCCTAAGAGGTTTTCCTTTTTAATTATGTTTTTATTGATGTTCTTATATGATGCTAGAATATAGGAGAATATAGATAATTGAGCTATGTAAGGACATTAAAAAGGTAAACTAAGAATGTACAAAGGGCTGTGATATAAGAATGAGATCAGGTTTCTTTTCTAACTGAAAATTCTAAAGCTATTTTATATAGAATGGATAAACAAGGCCTTTTGTATAGCACAGGGAACTATAGTCAATACTGTATAAGAAACCATAGTGGAAAAGGAAAATCTCTGGCTTTATAATCATTATTTTGTAGTCATATTGTTAATTCTGTAATTCAAAGGATTTATTAGTTTTGTCTTGGGGGTATTAATTGTGACAAAATGTTTGTAATAACATGTTGAATGTATACTATTTATTTTTTTCTAATCTAATTGACCACTTGCTTCTGTAGACATCTCATAGATTCTCACAGTTTTTTAATCTAATGAGATGCAGCAGGTTTCATATTACTTGTGGGATTGGAAACCACACTACACAGTGACTTCTTTGCTGGTGACTCAAAAATTCTTCTGGAAAGCTTATTTCCAGGTCAGTCAATGATAGAGTGCCACAAGTTAGAAACTTTGGGAATCTCCATTTTATGGAATCCTGGCAGCAGAAGACATTAGGAACTCAGGTATAACTGTTAACTCTCCTTATCACTACCCATACCTGGGCTTCCCAGGTGGTGCAGTGGTGAAGAATCCACCTGCCAATGCAGGAGGCGCAGGTTCAATCCCTGGGTCAGGAAGATCCCCTGGAGAAGGAAATGGCAACCCACTCCAGTATTCTTGCCTGGAAAAACCATAAACAGAGGAGCCTGATAGGCTACAGACATGGGGTCCCAAAGGGTCGGACAGAACTGAGCAACTGAACACATACACGCATATCACCATCTACTGTATCTTTCTGACCTGACTAGGAAGGTTTTTTTTTTTTTTTTTTAAGTGAAATGGAAGGAATCAGGGGTGGCAGAATAGAAGAGATAATTGCAGTCTCCCTGTCCTGAGAGAGTACTTAAAAATATTCCCTCTAGAAGTGGCAGTAACTTTGGGTCACAGTGACCTACTTTCAAAATGTTCTCAGGAGGATGTGTGCACTCAATCGCTCATTTGTGTCCAACTGCTTGCTACCCCCATGGACTGGAGGAGCCACCAGTCTCCTCTGTCCATGGAATTTTCCAGGCAAGAATACTGGAGTGGGTTGTCCTACTTCAGGGGATCTTCTTGACCCAGGTATTGAACCCGTGTTTCCTGTGTCTCCTGCATTGACAGGTGGATTCTTTACCACTGTGCCATCTGAGCTTCCCAGGTGGCACAGTGGTAAACATACCTAAGAAGGCAGTGGGCCAGAAACAGGGCCTGACCTGTAAGTCCAGAAGGACATCACGTATCTGTAGACCAATCAAAGGAAGCAGGGTGTATGGTCTCCATCTCCAGCCATTGTCAAGGCCAGGACTGCCTCTTAGAACTCCCTGTCTCCCTCCTCTGAGATTTGATCTGTCTAGACTCATTCAGGACCATAGCTCTTTCCATCCCAGCTTTGGATTGACTCCACTTATGTTGTCTAGATGGTCTTTTTTTCTTTGAGCCTCAGGACACCAGACTAAGTCCTTAGTGATTGGGCTGGACAGGTATTTAGTATATCCAGTAATCACTGTAATGTGTCATATGCCCCAAAGCAAGACATATGTTTTTCAGTTTATTCTCCCTAAAGAGTGAATTGCTTGCTTTCTTAGGCTAATTTCTTCATGATGTAGGAGGCAGTCTTCAGAAGTTAAACCTCATCTTCAGTGCCCAAAGTACCCCCCGCCCCTGCCATAACCTCAAAATTCTTTGGCAAGTAGATTCTTCTAGTGTCACCCCAAATTTATTAATGAAATGTAGATAGCAACAAGGCTGTTGATGACCTCGGAACTTTGTTAATTCCGTGGAAATATAAACACATCATTCATCTGTTAATGGACATTGAGATTGTTTCTTTATCTTGGTCGTTGGGGATAATGCTGAAATGAGCATGGGAATCTCAGTATCTTTGTGAGATCCTGATTAACGTTCTTTTGGGTAAATACTCAGAAATTGGATTGCTGGATTGTATGGTAGTTTAATTTTTAATTTTTTGAAGAATCTTCATACTATTTTCCACAGCAGCTGCATCATTTTGCATTTCCATCAGTAGTGTGCAAGGGTTCCAATTTCTTTGCATCCTAGTCAGATGGTATGTATTTGCAATTTAATGCTATTCAGCCCTAGAAAAGAAGGAAATTCGGCAGCATGCGGCAACATGAATGAACCTTGAGGACATTGTGCTAAGAAGATAAGTCAGCCACAGAAAGACAAATACTGGATAATTCTATGTACGTAAGGCATCTGAGATAGTCGAGTTCATATAATCAAAGAACAGAATGGTAGCTACCAGGAGCTGGGAGGGAGGGGAAATAAAGTTTAGTAATCAGAGGCCATAAAGTTTCAGTTAATCAAGACGAATACGATCTGTACAATGTTGTATCTAGAGTCAACAGTAATGTTTTAAACAATTAAATGTGTGTTAAGAGGGTAAATCTCATGTAAAGTATTCTTAGCACAGTAAAATAAAAATAAAAAGAACCACCCGTAGTCTCCATGATCTTGAAGTTGGTAAAGGATTTTAGCTCAATAAAAATAAATAAATAAAAACTCTGATGGGAAAAAACCCTAAATTATGTACTCAAATTCTCTAGAGAGAACTTTTGTATTCTCTGTGGAGATAATTTCAAACTGAAAAATTATCGAACTTAATTTTCAAGAAGAGCTTAATTTCAGGAGATCTTGGCATCAGAGAGTCACCTTCCAAATCTTACCTGCCAATTGGCATTCCTGAGAAAAGACCAGTTGCAGCTGTGTTTTTGGACTTTTGAAAAACACGTGCACCAAATGGGTTTTGAACAATTGTCTGAGAATTTCTTGTCGTACAACTAAGTGCCTCCATCTTCCAGTCTCTAAAATGGGGATAATGATGAAACCACACTTGTAAAATCCTTTTGAGCTTTGTAGATGAAAGGCTTCATGTGAGTGTAAAGTATTGTTATTAATATAATAGAATCTCTAATTAAAAGAAATAGGCTATTTAGAGCTCCTTGTAAATTCACTAATCGGTGGTCTTTAAACTTATTTAGTCTAATAGCCTTTGGAGGTTGAGCTGATGTGGTTCATGTAGGAACGTGCATTCTTTTGTTGTTCTCATTCTTTTTCCATTTTTATCCTAGTCCTAAGTAGGTATAAGGCTTTGTCTTTTTAAATTTCATTTTTGCTCAAGGACATATTAAATAACAGATAGACTGATATCTAGGGACCTTTTACTTTTTCTCTCTCCATTCCCCAGTGAGATAATGCAATCCTTCCTAAAGGGTCTCCTTTTTTTTTTTAAACTGTTGCTATCAGTGGATTAATGGAAAAACTCAACTCATTAAATTAATATAAGGGACTGCTAGGAAATCTAAATTAAAAAAATAAACATTTTGTGTGGTAAGCTTTTATGTTACTGCATTTTTCAGTTGTCTTCAGTATTTTAACAAATTCTTTAGACCAGGTTTAGAAGCACAAATATGAAAGGGAGCTGACTGCAGAGCTGTGGGTATGTTTTCTCTGAGACATGCTGGAAAAGGGAATTTTTTAAAAGTCAAATACATTTCTAGGTAATAGGTGAGCTCAAATCCACACAAACGCTTTCTTATTAGCATTTCTGCATTGCTTTTCAGGGACAACTTTGGCTTTGTGAGAGGAGATGGCTTTGTTCAACACAGTTGTGAACCATCTCTGATCTTCTGTCAGAATGAATCATTTCATCTTCTGTCATCCATGGTGCTCAGTTAATTCTTGTTTTCACTTTTCCCATAGTTAGGCTGGTGTTGATATTTCATCGCACTCATGTTCCTCATACCACTAGATGAAGGCACCGAGCCTGATTTATATTTATATCCTCTAGCACTTAATGCCTTTTATCCAGTTATTCCTGACTCCTTCATCAACCACCTAACCAATGTTTATTTAGCACCAATTATGTTAGATCCTTCAGATACTAAGGGGAAAACCCCAATATGATTTTTGATATGTCCAAATGTGCTGGTTGAGTAAGACAGGTATGAAAACAAATACTTAAAGACTATGAGATTTGATCAGTGGTAACTTGTAAAACTAGTAATGATAACGCTTCATATAGAACTTACTATGTACCAGTACTGCTCTATGTTACCATGATTGCTTCCTGTAAGAACACTGTATTCCAATAGGACAGGTTTTGAGAGGTCAAGTCCACAGTAATCAAGTGTGGCAGTTGTATGAATGTACATAAATATGTGAGTGTGCAGAGAAGGGCATGTTTAATTTTGACCTTTCTTTAGGTAATAGGTGCTAATAAATTATTTGTTGAGTAAATGAATGAGGAAGATAGTTATTGGTAATTTAGTTTCCAGCAACCAAAAAGAATATTGGTAGAGAAAGTGCAGAGATCTTAAAACTCATGACCTAGGTTATGAATTACTCAATTTTAATAATGAGACACCAAAATTCAAAGACAAATTTTATTCCTTTAAATCTAGAAATATATTGAATTTATTGTTTCAAAATGTGTGCATGCTATTTCTTAACATTTAAAAAGGAAGCAATTGCTCTCCTGTTGTAGAGTTGTAACTGCATTTTCACCTCTGATCATCTGGCCTTGGGGAAACAACTGGAAGTTTGGGTATTTAGTATCCTTCACGTGCATTTTGTTCAATCACTTCTCAAAAAATACTCTGCTCCTATGCTGCTGGTGAGTCACTTTAGTCATGTCCAACTCTTTGCAACCCCATGGACTATAGTCTTCCAGGCTCCTCTGTCCATGGGGATTCTCCAGGCAAGAATACTGGAGTGGGTTGTCATGCCCTCCTCCAGGGAATCTTCCCAACCCAGGGAAGGAACCTGCGTCTCTTATGTCTCCTGCATCGGCAGGTGGGTTTTTTGCCACTGGCACCACCTGGGAAGTCCACTCTGTTCCATTAGAAACTGTGAAAGTGGAGGGACGTATTTCAATCAAGATGTTTTAAAAATAGATATGATTCAATTATAGTAGGCACCCCAAGGGAAAATAGATAGACTCCAAGCTCCATGAAGACTGAAGTACCTTGCATAACATCTGATACTGTAGTAGCCGTTGAATAAGTATTGATTAAATAATTTATATTTAATAGCTTCACCTGAGTGATCAACATAAATTTTAATGTTTAATGTAAGCTGTTCAAAAACTTGATTTTCAGTCTTAGGACTAGTAGAATTTTTCCTTTTAACTATTATTTCAAACTTAATTTTTCATTTGGTGTTGAAACAGGAAAATGCAAATAAAGCTAAGTAAGGGTAGGTAAATGGCTTCCCAGGTGGCACCAGTGGTAAAGGACCTGCCTGCCAATGCAGAAGACATAAGAACTGTGGGTTCTATCCCTGGGTCGGGAAGATCCCCTGGAGGAGGGCATGGCAACCCACTCCAGTATTCTTGCCTGAAGAATCCCATGGACAGAGGAGCCTGGTGGGCTATGGTCCATAGGGTCGCAAAGAGTCGGACACAACTGAGGTAACTTAGCACGCATGCACACAAGGATAGGTATGATATTTTGTATATTACAAAGAGCATAGGACTACCCCCCTCTCAAATTCTTCCTACTTATGATATTTTTAAGGACATTTCTTTTAACCATAGAAAAATAGCAGACTGTATTTTCTTTATACAGGACACATGCTCATTTTGTTTTCATGCTGTTGGAAAATTTTCTTTTCCTTTAGAGATCCAAATAACCCTCTTTTTTATATTTTTTTTTTATTTATTTGGCTGTGTAGGGTCTTAGTTGTGACTTTTCGCTGTGTCATGTGGGATCTTTCTTTGTGGCAGTACGGACTCTCTAGTCATGCTACACGGGCTTGTTGCTCCTCAGCATGTGGGATCCTAGTTCCCCAAATAGGGATTGGACCTGTGTCCCCTGCATTGCAAGGAGGGTTCTGCACCACCAGGGAAGTCCCTAACCTTCTCCTTACCATGGTCATAGTATGTTTTACTTACCTCTATTTTGGTACTTGCAGTTTATCAAAATTACTTGCAGGGCCTTCTTTTCCTTCTGATTCACAAGGACAGGGAGAGAAAGGAAGAAGAAAATTGAGAATTATTGAATCCATCTGCTACATGCTTTTTATATCCTTCTTTTAATTTAAAAATTTTTAATTTCAACTTTATTTATGTATAAATGGCAAATAAAATTGTAAGATATTTAAGGTGTCCATTGTGATGATTTGGCTTTTTGCTCCTTTCATTCATTAAATGAAGATTCATTCATTCGTCCAAGGCCCAGCATAGGCCTAGGCAGCAGGATAATTGCCTTCCAGGTGCCTGCAGCTGAGCCAGTAGATGTCTACAATTGCCACAATTAATTCAATGAAAAAAGAAATAGGAGGTGTCATGGGAGCACAGCTTGGGGGTCATCTGACCGTGATGTGTGGGATCAGGGATGACCGTTAGAGAGCCCATTGTGCAGCTTAAAGGAGGAATAGGCAAACTAAGTGAAGAAGAAGGTAGTAAGACTGTGAGGGAAAAGTGTTCAAAATAGAAGGAAGAGCAAGTAAAAAGATCTGGGAGGAAGAGGAGGAGGAGAAGGCAGGAAGCTGACACGTTAAATGTTTCACACAACCCCCAGGAGATAAGTTATTGCCCTCTTTTGTTTCAACACACAAACAATATTTAAGTGTTTACTCTCTAACTTATCACTACCTAAGGAATGAGATGCTGGTCAAACCAAATGCAATGAAAGTCAAAGTCAAAGTGTGTCGTTTAGTCATGTCTGACTCTTTGTGGCCCCATGGACTGCAGCCCACCAGGCTCCTCTGTCCATGGGGATTCCCCAGGCAAGAATTCTGGAGTGGGATCCAGGATCCCACTTCTCCAGGGGATCTTCCTGACGCAGGGATTGAACTGTGGTCTCCGGCATTGCAGGCAAGACTCTTTACTGTCTGAGCCACCAGGGAAACCCAAGTGTAATAAACAAGGCTCAACAGGGAAAAGTCAACCTAAAATATTTCAGTTTTAGACGCTAAACAGAAAGAGGCCTGGAGCTTGGTATGACTAGTACTCGGTCCCTGGGATGATAAAATGGATGAGCAGTTTGTGCAGAGATGGGCAACCCTGCAGTGATTTGCACTTTCTGACACTAGGGCCACTAATTCACCTTTATGACCTGCCAGCCTCCATTGATTTTGTCTTAACTCTGTCTCCTTTGTAACATAAACCAGCTTTTTAAATGTTGGATTTCACCTAAATTCTTGGAAATCAGTTTATTTATTTTGGTTCCCCCTTTAGCTTGGTATATATTCTCTTCCTTCTGTAAATCAATAGCCTTCTGCATGTGCTTCAGGGGAGAGGCACCAAGCAGGGATGACATTTGAGGCTGCAGCCCTGTCCCAGGAAGGGACATCTGACGTGATCCATGAGTGGAACAGATGGCAGCACTTGTCTTGGTCTCCCAAGGCTTCCATAACAAAGGACCACAGACTGGGTGGCACACAGAAACTCACTTTCTCACAATTCTGAAGGCCTGACATCCCAGATCAAGGTGTCAGCAGGGTGTGTGTCTTGAGGTATCTGTTGGCTTGTTGAGTCCTGACACCCCTCTCTGAGTCCAAATTTCCTTTTCTTAAGTGGACACCAGTCATGTTGGATTAACCACACACCCCCTCCCTGCCCCACCACAGTGCCTTCATGTTAACTTACTTTTTTTAAAGACCCTATCTCCAAAAATAGCCCCCTGAGTGCTAGGGGTTAGGACTTCAGCATATGAATTTGGTGGGGATTCAATTCAGCTCATAACACCATGGAATTTGTTTCATGTCCTGTTTCTTTGCTGGGAATATTTCTAGAAACTCTCTGGTGTTCAGTCCCCTTGGAGAGACAAACATTTCAAGCAGAGCGCAAGGAAAGGCAACTGACCTTCTCTTCCGTTCTACTCCAGAAATTTCTTCCAAGCTACATAAGCTTACTTCTTCTTCCATCTTTCCCTTAATTTCTCAAATGCACTAGGAAACTTCGCCGGCTATAACTGTGGAGACTGCAGGTTTGGCTGGACCGGCCCCAAATGCGATCAGAAGAAACCATTGGTTGTCCGGCAAGATGTCCATTCCTTGACCCCTCAAGAGAGGGAGCAATTCTTGGGCGCCTTAGACCTCGCAAAGTACACTCCGCACCCCGACTACGTGATCACCACGCAACACTGGCTGGGACTCCTGGGGCCCAATGGGACCCAACCACAGATCACCAACTGCAGCATTTATGATTTCTTTGTGTGGCTCCACTATTATTCTGTCAGAGATACATTATTAGGTGAGCTTCTCCCGCTTTACCTTAAGGTATCTTAGGGGCGTCCTAGGTGGTTCGGTGGTAAAGAATCTGCCTGCTAATGCAGGAGCTGCAGGAGACTCAGGTGTTCTGAAATCGTGCTCTATTTGCAATTATCCTCACTTTTGAGGCTCCCGGTTGCGGTTAGGGTGAGTGAAGACACAGCGCTCACTTTGAATAGTAAGATTCTCATTTGGAATCTGTCCTTGTGTTTGGGCTTCCCTGGTGGCTCACCAGTAAAGAATCTGCCTGCAATGCAGGAGGCTTGGGTTCCATCCCTGGGTTGGGAAGCTCCCCTGGGGAGAGGATGGCAGCCCACTCCAGTATTCTTGCCTGGAGAATCCCATGGACAAAGGAGCCTGGCGGGTTACAGTCCATAGCGTCACAGAGTCAGCTGTGACTGAGCACAGCACAGCCCTTGTGTTTATCACTCATTCCCCCTCCTCATTTTGTTTTGAGAACTTTAAACTTTGTTCTGCATTAAAACATTTACAAAGGGTTGCCTAGCCAACAGCAGCGACAGCAGTTTTTCCCCTCAGTGTGGGTCTTTTTAAAACTTGCCTCACAGGTAAGCATCTGTCTTTCTGTGTCGATAGATACGGAGGCTCTTCCGGCTATAAACCTTTATAGTTTTCCTGTCATCACGCTGAAGAATTTTTGCTTTATGAGAGGGTAGTCTCTCAAGAGGAAAAGAAAACTATAGTTTCTGGTCGCATCTAGGAATTAAATTTATATTCATGTCTGTTCATCTCTCTGAAGTTATTATGGGGACTTCGAAAAAGAACTAAAGTTAGCTCAAGTTTCTACATAACCATCAAAAGCTGTTATGAGACGGAGAAGAAGGATTGGAAAGGCAGTAAGGAGGTCATTAAATCGCCCAAAGCTTTTCACTAAAATTGGCAGTTCCAGAGGCCAGCCAAATTGGTTGGAATGTATTTTTCCTCTCTTCTGGTCACGGCAACCATGCTTGTCAGCTAATAGTTGTAACTGATTGATGGCTGAGGCAAAACCCGTGAAAGTTCCTTTTGGTTCCAAATGCTGAATTCAGACTTAGTGTAGTTGAAGTTGCTTTGTTCTGCATTAATCGCTCCCTATAAATGCAGGCATTTGTAAGGAATGGGTTAGAAAAAGTCTTTTAAAATATATTTCATTTAGATCTTAATGATCTGTTCTTTGGGATACTCTTATTTTATCTTCCTGAAGCACTGCTTAAAAATTAAATTAACTTTATAATATAAATTATAATATAATATAATTTATAACACTGTTATAAATTAACAGGAGCTCTTAAGATGACCCGAGTTTCTCTGAATCTCTGCTGACCATCAGACTTTTGAGAGATGAAGGAGAATTTATCCTGAAAGTGCTATTTGCCTCTGAGATTTTTTTGTTGTGGTTGTTGTTTTCAGAGGAATAAATGACAAAAACAGCTGTTTTCCCTTATGGTTGCCAAAGAGGAAAGGTGGATGGGGAGATTAACAGACACACACTGCTGTATATAAAATATTAATAAACAATAAGACCCTATTGTATAGCCCAGGGAACTATATTCAATATCTTGTAATACCACAATGAGAAAGAAGAAAAAAAATATATATATATATGTGCTTCCCAGGTGGTGCAGTGGTAAAGAATCTCTGCCAGTGTAAGAGACGTAGATGCATTCCCTGAGTCAGGAAGATCCCCTGGAGAAGGAAATGGTAACCCGCTCCAGTCTGCTTGTCTGGAGAATCCCATGGACAGAGGAGCCTGGGGGGCTGCAGTCCATGGGGTCCCAAAGAGTTGAATACAGCTGAATGTGTGCATGCGTGTGCACACGTGCGCACGCACACACACACACACACATGCATTCAGCAAACTGAATCACTTTGCTTTCCCTGAAACACTATGAATCAGCTATTGCTTCAATAAAAATTAATTTAAAAAAATCCAGTTGTCCAGCGCATCCCAGGTAAGGTTCACGTTAAAAAATTCTATTCCGTGACCTCTAACATGTTTCCCAATTGTTTTAGGACCAGGGCGCCCATACAAGGCTATAGATTTCTCACACCAAGGACCTGCCTTTGTTACCTGGCACCGGTACCACTTGTTATGGCTGGAAAGGGATCTCCAGGTTGGTTGAAAGTTTCTTTTAATTTTGCTATGTATTTGGGCAAGACCCATGTAAGTCTTTGCTTCCTGCATTTTCTTGTTGTTTCTGATGACATGAATTGAATGTCTGGTCATGCCCTTTGCTTTTAGCGCCTTACTGGCAACGAGTCCTTCGCTTTGCCCTACTGGAATTTTGCCACAGGCAGGAACGAGTGTGACGTGTGCACAGACCAGCTCCTCGGGGCAGCAAGGCAAGACGAGCCGACCCTGATTAGTCAGAACTCCCGATTCTCCAGCTGGGAGATTGTCTGTGATAGGTAATGATATGGGTACCTGCTGTGGAAATCCAAGAGACCGGGTTTCCTCATGTCTGAGAGATGGACAGTCACTTTACAATTCTGTTTCTAATGCGTTGAATTCTGTTTATATGTTTCTGAAAGTTATTTTCCTGTAGGAAATAGGATTTTTAAAAATCCTGAGTCCTTTAGTAAAAAAAAAAATAGAGGTATGGAAATCACACTTATAAACTGAGTGTGCTTGGCCATCACTTTGAGATCCACTGTTTTAAAATGAGAAGTGTTTTCTGTATTCAGCCAACATGTCTTAAGCTCCGATCATATTCTAAGCAGTTTAATAGTGCTGGGAATACATGGATGAATAAAATACAGCCTTCCTTTGGAATATCATCTTATACTTACAAAGGTAGGTGGCCAGTAAACAAATTACAGTACAACGTGAGAAGTTATTTTAATAGGTGTGTGTGCAAAGCCAAGAAGAGAAGCAGGGAAAGTCTTTAGGAGGTGGAGATGATTATCCTGACACTTCAAGGAGGCACAAACCTTTCAACCAGAGGTGAGGGAAGGTGGTGTGTCCTTGGTGGGGGCAACATTATCTTAGAAAGCTAGAAAAGCCTCTAGAAGTTGTCTGGTATGGCTGGACCACAGGTTTCTGGGGAGTAGAGGGGAACAGGATTTGCAGTGGGGAGATAGATCTTTAAAGTACTAAAACTGGGTCATGTGCAGCTGGTGTGCGAACTTTTTTTCTACCATAAGTCATACCAACATATGTTGGTTATTAAAAAAAATAAAATACTAAAGTACACGCAGGCAGCCAGTAGCTCATGAAGAATTCTGTCCTCAGTGATTCCTTGAATATGTTTCTTTCCGAGCACACATCTCAGGAACAGACTCCCCAAGCAGCTCTTCTGTCTCTCTGCATTTGTTTGTTTCCTCCACAACCCTCCGGTGTTGAACCCTGCTGTACTAACACCCTTGTCCTGTGTCTTTGAACTGCTCCATGGCACAGAGCATTGCCGTCCACACCCCAGGCTGGGCATGCGTGTGTTCTGGGGACTCCAGCTCACAGGGACCCCATCTTCTCCATCCTGAGCTTTTCCTACAGCCCTCTAGAGAGTGCCCGTGGGGATGTAGTTAAGTGCTGTGTCTGTGACTCTGAGTCATTCCAGAAGGCTCCATGTCTCATAGTGTCCTGGGCTATTAGTTGGTGATATGTGAAAAGAGATTTCTCTGATCAGATACATTTAGAGAATGCTGAGCTTAAAAAGCCTTTAGAAGTTTTAGGATGTTTCAGAGCCTTTAAGTAACTGTATTCTTATTTTTCAAGAGGGGCTTAAACTTACCTGACCCTGACACCCTTAATTTCACAGGCCGTCTCACTGGAACGCTCTGGGAAAGGCAGCTTTTGGAGGCTGTTTCTGCCTAGTTTTTAGGCACCAGCCTATTTCATCTTTCTGTGTGGTCTGATTCTATTCTCACACACCCAGTATGATTCCCTCACCCATTAAAATCCACACAGAAACGTCTTTAAAAATTTATGTCTACCAAATGAAATACTGCTCTGATGGTGGAATTCCAGGCTGCAACAGTCACGTGGGATATAATCTTACGGGCCGGGGTCCCCAGCCTCTGGGATCTAATGTCTGATGATCTGAGGTGGAGTCGATGTAATAATAATAGAAAAAAAGTGCATAATAAGTATAATGCATTTGAATCATTCTGAAACCATCCCACCACCCCCACCCGCCACGCCAGTCTGTGGAAACATTGCCTTCCCCGAAATCGGTCCCTGGTGCCAGAAAGGTTGGGGCCCACCTTCTCAGCCTCCATGTTTACCAAGTAACCATCCCAACCTTAGAACATTTTCTAACACGGCATTTCTCCTAATTCCTCTCCTCCATATAGTATCATCTGTTTTGACTCTGACCTCTTCCATTTGTCTTCAGTTTGCCTGGAATGCTTTCCTAGCTTCACTTCTGCCAAACTGGCTTAGTGAAAGTCACACAGTCGTGTCTGACTCTTTGCGACCCCAAGAACTATACAGACCATGGAATTCTCCAGGCCAGAATACTGGAGTGGCTAGCCTTTCCCTTCTCCAGGGGATCTTTCCAACCTAGGGATCAAACCCATGCCTCCCACACTGCAGGCAGATTCTTTACCAGCTGAACCACCAGGGAAGACCATGTGTGCTGGATGCTTGAATTTATCAGATCAAACTGGCTTAGTTCACTGTTAATACAGTCTACCCTGGTCTCTCTTCAGTTACTCCAAATTCAAATGCACGTACGATAGGAGTCACCATCTTGCCTAGTAAACCATCTTACTGTCTTTCCAGTGGAATAGTAATTTTCCTTGTTATTTATGTGTTGATTCATATTTCATGCATCTATGTTTTCAAAACTCCTTCATCCATAATTGCTTTTGGAAGCAGTTCTTTTACCACATATGTTTGACCCTTGTAAGGTAACTATAGTAAAGTTTTACCACCACTATGACCTTGATTGGTTTGTTGGGCTCCAAGTTATGATACTATCCATGAACTAAGAGGTATTATTTCTAATCTCTTTACGCATTTTAGCTTGAATGACTACAACCGCCGAGTCACCCTGTGTAATGGAACCTATGAAGGTTTGTTGAAAAGAAATCAAATGGGAAGAAACAGTGAGAAATTGCCAACTTTAAAAGACATACAAAATTGCCTGTCTCTCAAGAAGTTTGACAATCCTCCTTTCTACCGGAACTCTACCCTCAGCTTCAGGTTGGTGCTCTGATATCTGTAGTTTATAGTCCTTTATAGATTTCCATGCTTGTAGTTGTAATAAATGGGAAGGAAAGCTAGATGTTGGGAGACATCAAAGCTCAGTAATAGGGAAGCACTTTGTAAGAGGGTAGCAAGGCATAGTGTTACCTATCATTAATTATGTTTAGTTGCTTAGTAGTGTCTGACTCTTTTTGACCCTATGGACTGCAGCACACCAGGCTTCCCTGTCCCTCACTATCATTAAGAGTTAAGTTTTTATATCTTCTAACTCAGCTATTCAAAACCACCTTTTGCATTCTAATTTCTATACACATATAAGCACAGTCTTTAGAACCCTGGTACCTCACCTATTAAATAGAGTATTTTAAAAATATTTTCTTGTGTTCTTTCTTCTTCTTTTCTGCCTTAATGAAATGTCAGTCATAGACCTTAATGTTTGGTTCTGAGATCTTAGAGGAGTAAAGAATCTGCCTGCCAACCCAAGAGACAAGGGACTCGGGTTTGGTCCTTGAGTTGGGGAGATCTCCTGGAGAAGGAAATGGCAACCCACTCCAGTATTCTTGCCTGAAGAATCCCTGTGGACAGAGAAGCTTGGTAGACTATAGTCTGTGGGGTCACAAAGAGTTGGACACGATTCAGTGAATGAGCACATGCACACAGACTAAATGCTACTCAGATTACAGCACAGTAACGACATTATGATACTTGAAATTTAAAGGCCAACCAGTAATTTTCTCCCTCTAAAAAGATTTTAAGAATTATGAGAAATATGCATGGCTGTGGGCTTCCCTTATAGCTCAGTTGGTAAAGAATCTGCCTTCAAAGCAGGAGACCAGGGTTTGATTCCCGGGTTGGGAAGATCCCCTGGAGATGGAAATGGCAACCCACTCCAGTATTCTTGCCTGGAGAATCCCATGGACAAAGGAGCCTGGCAGGTTACAGTCTGTGGGGGTCACAAAAGTCAGACCTGACTTAGTGACTAAACCACTATGTGTGGCTATAAATAAGATTTTTAAAAATTTTGTTTATTGCTTACTTGGTTGCACTGGGTCTTAGTTTCACCATGTGGGATCTAGCTCCATGATCAGGAACCGAACCCAGGGCCCCCTGCTTTGGGAGCATGAAGTCTTAGCCACTGGACCATCAGGAAAGTCCCTGTAAATAAGATTTTAACAAGCTTCTTAGAAGATCCAGAAAGGAATGCAGATAGATTCATGATTTTCATGACTAAACCCTGCAGTAACTGTTCAACTCTGAGCCCCTTGTGTTGCTCAGTCATGTCCGACTCTTTGTGACCCCATGGACTATAGTCCACCAGCCTCCTCTGTCCATGGGATTCTCTAGGCAGTACTAGAAACTGTGTCTCCTTATGCATTTAAAAGTGTATGAACGCTCAGTTGTGTCCGCCTCTTTGTGACCCCTTTGACTGTAGCCTGCCAGGCTCCTCATCCAGGGAATTTTACAGGCAAGTAATACTGGAGTGGGTTGCTAGTTCCTTCTCCAGGGGATCTTCCTGACCCAGAAATTGAACCCACGTCTCTTATGTCTCCTGCACTGGTGCTATTTCCCTACACAATCTGAAATTAGAAGACTGTTACCTAGGCTGGAAACAAAAAGAGAGCTTTCTTTGTCAGTTCATGACTCTGGTTGCTGAAATACTGATTTCTCTCAGGAATGCCCTGGAAGGGTTTGACAAAGCAGATGGGACCCTGGACTCTCAAGTGATGAGTTTTCATAATTTGGTTCATTCCTTCCTGAACGGGACAAGCGCTTTGCCACATTCTGCTGCCAATGATCCTGTTTTTGTGGTATGTTCAAAGACTCAGACCAGATGAAAAATGTTCTAGATAATGTGCTGGATTTATTTGCTTTTCAACAAGATTAAAGTTTGATGTGTGTTTTATTCTCTGTGTGAACAATGGGATGTATGCATATGTCAATTAATTTTAATCTACACCATACGGGTAGTTAGATAGTGTTTGAAGTCCCCTCAGCTGTGCTTTAGAGATGGTTAGCTTTGGGATGACTCTGGATGGGAGTTTACAGTCCAGAGGTGGATTCATAAATTAGCATAATAAGGTTACTCATGTGTGTGTGCTAAGTCACTTCAGTCGTGTCCAACTCTTTGCAACCCAGTGGACTGTAGCCTGCTGGGCTCCTCTGTCTGTGGGATTCTCCAGGCAAGAATCCTGGAGTGGTTTGCCATGCCCTCCTCCAGGGGATTTTCCCAACCCAGAGATCAAAGCCGCATCTCTTACATCCCCTGCATTGGCAGGTTGGTTCTTTACCACTAGTGCCACCTGGGAAACCCTAATAAGGTTATAAATTATATCATAACTTAACATGAGCATCAAGAGGAAGGATTTTTCGTTGGTAGAATGAGCAGTGTTGAAGGTAAGTGATGGACTAGAAGGACTGTGCATATGCCATGACCCTGGCATGATGCCCACCTACCTGAGGTCCAAAATTCTGTTTAGTGTTGGATCCTGACCCCCCCCTCACAACTGCTACTGCTAAGTCACTTCAGTCATGTCCAACCCTGTGCGACCCCAAGGACTCACTAAAAATGTGCTGCTGTTCTTGCCATCAGAGGATCAGAAATGTGGACTATTGGTCCCTGCTTCTAACAAGGTGAGGGGTTATCTGTAAATTCTCCATCGTCATCTTTGCTCTTCTGTAAGACACCTGCCTTGTTCACTTGTTCTAATTTGATATCTCGCATCACTTTCAGGCCATCATTTCAGCCATCAGCTATGCCAAATATTTTCATGTCTACCTTCTCTGCTATCTAGCTATTTATCAATACTATATGTCTCTAAATTTTTATTAAAACATGCATTTTTAATTTGTACATAACAACCTTTATTCATAAGGAAGAATGTTACAGTGCTCTTTACGCAGTACTCCAAAATATTATGAGACTAGCAGTCCTCTGACAAATTGAAGATCAAACCCACACTTCTCACTCCTACCAAAGGTAAATAGTGGTGATGGCTAGTAATTTGATTTTCAGTCCTAAGTTTCAAGGATTGCCAAATCTTATCTACTTATTTTGAGGAAACCCACTAAGTGGGCTTCTCTGGTGGCTCAGTCAGTAAAGAATCCATCTGCAATGCAGGAGACATGGGTTCGATCCCTGGATCAGGAAGATCCCTTAGGGGAGGAAATGGCAATCAATTCCAATACTCTTGCCTGGAGTATCCCATGGACAGAGGAGCCTGGCAGGCTACTGTCCTGCCTCAGTGGGGTCTCAGAGAGTGGGACATAACTCAGCAGCAGTATTTTGAGGAAATCCTACCAAGTCTGCAGCGTTTGACAACATTTTTCTGTCAGTGACCAGATAGCACATGTTTTAGGCTTTGCAGACAAGATGGTCTCTGTTGTAGGTGTGCAGCCTTGCCGCTATAGCATGAAAGGAGCAATAGACAATATATGAATAAGTGAGTGTGTTACGCAAAACTGAGATCATCTCATGGTGGGTGTTTACACAGAAAACACAGCCAAGCCAAAAATCAGTCGGGAGAAGGAAAGATTTATTACTTGTAGCAAGTAAGCAGAACACTTGGAATCTTTCCCAAAGCAGTGTCTCCTGGAGGAATAGCAAAATTGGGGAAGTTTTAAGCTAAGGGTACATGAATATTCATGAAGGGGCTTGTGCATAGGAGAATTCAGCAAGAAATGAAGTGAAGTGAAAGTTGCTCAGTCGAGTCTGACTCCTTGCAACCCCGTGGACCATACAGACCAGAATACTGGAGTGGGCAACCTTTCCCTTTTTCAGGGTATCTTCCCAACCAACCTAGGGATCAAACCCAGGTCTCCCACATTGCGGGTGGATTCTTTACCAGCTGAACCACCGGGGACTCAGCATAGAATTGGAGCAAAGGTTGACAGAGTCCAAGCTTTAGTTGGACTTAGCTTTAGTCCAAGATTAAGTTACAAGTGAGAAAAGGTTAGCATCATCATCTCCTAGGCTCCACTCATCTAGTAATTGAGGGCTTTCAGAAGAGGGTTTAGATTCTTCAGAACAGCTCAAGAAAGTGCTTCAGGTTAATCTTTAATATTGAAACAGAATGGAGAGTCTTTACAATTGATTTGTTGTCTTTGCTATTGTTACTTCTCTTGTCTGGGAACAGTCAGTTTGTTCTTTTGTTCATTTAGAATTCTTATTACTGAGGCTTGTTCGAGGGCAAACATTGTGGCCAGGCCTAGATGGCAAAATGGCTTATGCTTAAAATGGTCTCTTTTATGTCAAAAAGCTATATTTGGTTCTTTCCTTTCAGACCATCCATCTCCTACCTGCCTACAAGTGTGGTGTTCTAATAAAACGTTATTTATGAGAATAGTGAGCCCTGTTTACCCCGCAGGCTTTAGTTTGCCAACTCCGGCTGGAAGGGATCAATGTCTTCTGTGTAGTACAGATATCTCTTTAGCCATCTTTCTCTTCCTGCTCTAGCTGGAAGCCTGCATTATGATTTTGTGGACGTGGGATTCCATGACTTAAATTAGTTCAAAGACACAAGATGTTTTATCGTCCTTGTCTTCATTACTTTTAATACCTTTAATATTTTAAAATTTTGTTTTCCTTAGTATAAGTTATGTACATATAAATAGACAAAAAGCCTTTCTTTGAAGGCACAGAAGGAGTAATGTTTTGGCACCAGTTCCAGAACTCACAATTACTTTAGACTATTGACAAAGAGTTTCATGTTGAAGCCAATTCAGCTTCAACAATATTGAGAGCCAGGTGAAAGCACTTAAGTTTACAGAGTTATGGCTTCTGTAATTTCAAATTTATGCAAACATATTGCATATGACATTTATTAAATTTGTTTTTTTGTGAACTCTCTTCAAGCAAGAGAAACACACATTTGTATTTGATCGAAATGAGTATAAGAAGGTATGATATTAAAATGCAGGAAATACTCTGAACCAATCTCTGAAATTCTAATTTTAAGGTAATTGAAGGAAATGCACACATTTATCATGAAAATTAAGTTTAGGTCACAGGAATGTTAAATAGTTCTGTTTTCAATATCAAATTTGGGTATAATCTAGAAAAGAAAAAAAGGAGGGAAATCAATAGACTATGAAGTTAAATAGTTAACTGCCATGAAAGAAACTATGTTAGAGGATTAGTGACTTTGTGCCCAATTCCTAAAGAAAATATTCTTAATGATGTATTTGGATGTTATCCTCTTAGAAAAGGTACCTTTGGCAAGTTTTAATTCTTGGCGGGGAGATTAATAGGTTGCACAGTTAATATTTACTAAATAGCTCATGTGTCTGTTCTTCACCTTTTACATTAAAATTCTAAATGGAATTAAGACATACCAGCAACCTTATTTGGAGAAGGCAATGGAACCCCACTCTACTCTTACCTGGAAAATCCCATGGATGGAGGAGCCTGGTGGGCTGCAGTCCACGGGGTCGCTAAGAGTCGGACACGACTGAGTGACTTCACTTTCACTTTTCACTTTCACGCACTGGAGAAGGACATGGCAACCCACTCCAGTGTTCTTGCCTGGAGAATCCCAGGGACAGGGGAGCCTGGTGGGCTGCCGTCTGTGGGGTTGCACAGAGTTGGACATGACTGAAGTGACTTAGCAGCAAGTACAAGAAATACTCTTGACTGAAATGTATATCACATATTCTATCATGATATACTCTTATTTATTTTCTTTGTTGAAGTATACTTGATGTACAATACTGTATGTTACAAGTATACAATTTAGTGATTCCTAATTAAAATTTTTAAAATTATAGAGAAGTGGGTTTCTTTTAAATATCATTTTACTTTATTTTAATTATTATTTATTTATTTTTGGAGGCTGCACCACGTGGCATGTAGGATCTTAGTTCCCTGACCAGGGATGAAACCTGTGACCCCTGCATTGGAAGCTCAGAGTTGTAACCACTCTACCATCAGGGAAGGTTTTTAAGGATTATACTCCCTTGGACTGCAAGGAGATCCAAGCAGTCCATCCTAAAGGAGATCAGTCCTGGGTGTTCATTGGAAGGACTGATGTTGAAGCTGAAACTCCAATACTTTGACCACCTGATGCGAAGAGCTGACTCATTGGAAAAGACCCTGTTGCTGGGAATGATTGAGGGCAGGAGGAGAAGGGGACGACAGAGGATGAAATGGTTGGATGGCATCACCAACTCGATAGACATGGGTTTGGGTGGACTCCAGGAGTTGGTGATAGACAGGGAGCCCTGGTGTGCTGCGGTTCATGGGGTTGCAAAGAGTCGGACACGACTGAGCGACTGAACTGAACTGAACTGAACTCCACTTACAGTTATTTAAAAACGTTAGTTATAGTCCCTGTGTTTTACAGTATATCCTTGTGGCTTATTTTATAAACAATAGTTTGCAGGGATGTTTTGATCTTTAACTTGCACATGCTAAATGGTTAAATGGAGCTGAAGGGGTTCTTTTCAATTCTAAATTTTATAAGGATAAACACATACTCTGTGGAGAAGAATTAAACCTAAGAGATGAACTATATGCACTTCATTATTGATGAATTATGGAGTGGGAAATGGCAACCGCTCCAGTATTCTTGCCTGGAGAATCCCATGGATGGAGGAGCCTGGTGGGCTATAGTCCATGGGGTCACAAAGAATTGGACAGGACTGAGCGACTAAGAACATTGATGAATTAAGTAATATAATGGCAAACCATAATATATGTACATATCAAAGATGGTTCTAGCATTGATGCGAGTTCCTCTCTCCTAGTGCATTGGAGGCTCCTTAGCCTCGAATGGCCTGGGAGTATCTTAGTTCTCATTTATAACCTCTTCTA